TTTTTTTTTTTTTTTTTTTCTTTTTTGCTACTGACATCTGTGGCACGTTTGACCAACCATGTTTCCCCTGAGACCTGGCTTTTTCCAGTTCGTGTTTCTAGACTGTGGTCTGCGATTTGGTCATGCTGCTTTTTGACATGATAAAGCACCGTCAGCAAACTGAGTAAAAGGTGAATGCAGATCCATAGAATCAGCTTTCTAAAAAAACAGATAATTTTATAGCATCTGATGTAATGAAGGGAAAAATCTGGAGTAATCAGTTAGAGGGGATTAAGCTGTTTTTTGGTGCAAGGCGGGCTCTGCTTCCAGCTGATCTGCTGAGCCCTCTGCAAAAGGACACCTAGTTTGCTTTGAGGATCCAGAGTTTGACTGCAATTTCAGCCACATTATCTCCTGTTTAGCTGGGGCTACCAAACAGCCTGGTAAGCGGTTGAGCTGGGGTGGCTGAGCTGTGTACCTGCAAACGATGCCTTCACTTATAGTGGAGAGAAATTGTGGTGGTCTGCTTGGATGATGGGATGCAGACCTGAAATAAAGCTCAGTCCTTGCTCCAGTGTAAATAACCAAAATGGATAGAAAGTGGGGAAAGGCACTGTCCATTTTCCAGGTGGTGCTGAGGCACTGGGAGCTGGAAGGTCTTGGCAGAGAAGGCAGCATCGGATGTGCTCTCCAGAGAGAATCTCCATAGTTGGTTAATTCCCACCTTGGAGTACAGGTTTCTGAAGTAGAAAATGGTCATATTGTTTAGATCCGAGTACCAGCTGTGAATTTGTGGAGATAAAATGGGGAAATAGGGCTTTCTTTGCCTACTAGCAAAGTCAATGTGACCAAGGTTGTAGTTCTGTGTCCAGGGTTTCTTCCACTATGTTTAAGGGCTTTTGGATAATTTTGGTTTCTGTCCCTTTGGAGGTACAATTCCATTTTTTCCTGTAAGTGACATAGGTGCATCACTTGAGTTGTAGAATCTTAAAGCTGAAATAATCAGAGAGCTTAAAAGAATGTATGCCCAATATGAAAATGCATATGTTGCAAGCCAAACATCCCTACAGTATTATGAAAACCATAATCTATGTGTATAATAAATCCTACACTGTGAATAATTTTTATCTCTATAGTTATAAAAGTGTAAGAGAATTCTCACAGGGTAACTTAAAATTAGGTCTTTGATTTCCATGTTACCATACATATCTATGCTCTGATACTCAGCAAAATGGAAGTGAACAATTCTGTGGGATAGTGAGTTTTTTTTCTCCCTGATAATTGCTTGTCATAGGTGACCTCTTTCAGTTCTTTTAGCAGGTGTGAATAGAAATTGGTGGTCAGGACTAATCAGCCTATCTTTGCTGTGATGTCATCTTTGCCTCATTGCCTGTAATTCCAGTTAACTCTGTACCTGAAAATCCAGTTTCATGGCAATACCTTTTTCCTTTTTCTGCAAGAAGTCAATTCAAGGCAAAAAAAAAAAAGGAGGTCAAACTTAGTAACCTAAAATACGAAAACTTTACTTGAAATGAGTTGTTGGTCTCTAATCTGTCTGCTAAATCAGGCCACAAACTTGTGACAACATCTGACAGAAAATAAAGCATCGTTTGATGAAGATTTCTGCTTCTATTACTCAAGAAATGTGATGTAGAGCAGTGATCAGAATAGTCCCTCAGAACTTGAAAATGCTGTGAATTTGCAGGAGGCTCCTGACTTTCCAACAGATATCATGTATCTGGAGGACAGATGATGAGTTTGAGTGAGGAGGTCTGGTGCTTCAGTCTTCTTCCTCCCATGTGGCTACATGGCTTTGGAGAAAGTGGCTTCCCTTCTCACAGGGCATCTTCCAGAGAGATGCTGATCAGGTGAGGTACATGGTCCTCTTCTGGAATAAAACCAACTTTAATTCCAAAAAAATGACTGAGCTTCCAATTCTAACCAGCTGTCCTGTGTAAAGAAGCCTTCAAGTTTCTTCCAAGAAGGGAACATGGAACTAACACATAAGTAGTCATCCTGAAGTTTGGTAATGCTCGTCATGGTTATATCATTATTGCTTTGTTTCTCAGTTTGTTTATGACTCGGACTCTCTCCTTGAGAAGACACAAAAGCATAGGTGTGTATGCTTTCAGTGAAGTGCTTCAGTAGGTGGAAAGGAAAAAAGTTGGACTCTCAACAGAGTTTCGGACTTCTCCCTTATCCTTCCAGGATGCTTCTACCCTTTAACTATTACAAGGCACAGGACATGCACAGAAAGCTGAGCCCGTGGCAGAGACCTGGAAAAACCCAGCTGGGTCATGATGGTCAGGTCTCACTGTTCCTGCATGCCACATTTGGGTTCTTGTTCCTGCTTCCCTTTCTATTTTCATTCTTCTGTTCCTTAGTTGTAAAATAAGATAGATAATAGATTCTACAATTAAAAGCTGATCTCCACCACCACAATGTAACAGAGGAACAATGCCAGTCAGAGCAACCCCAATAATCTAGACAGTGCAAACAGAGCCCCTAACACAGCTCCTTCCACAGCTATCCTGGGACTACCATCTCATGGTCCAGTGGGAGATCCTCCAGATAAGTCATCAGGGGAGACTTCCCATTTCACCTTGAAAAATACAGACATACACGACTCATTAATGCGTACCAAGGAGTGCATTTTGGATTAATGCAAGTCATTATGGGATGCTTAGGAAAAAACACCAAAGGTGGAGAAAGGGAAGGTTCAAGAATGGGTGAGGGACCAACATGGGAAAATGGGAGGGATGGGGTTGAAAGGGCTGATCAGAGACTACTGGTTGTCATGCTTGTCTGGCTGAACTTTGTCACTAGCACAGCCTGTCCTGTCGTCTTATAGAATCCTTTTCTTAACTTTTTTTTTTTTTTCAGTGTAATCTTGTTCTCTGTCTTACATGTGGGTGCTGCAAGATGCCAGAAACTAGAGAGACTGGAGCTCATGCATGTTGTGTGGGGATGCATGCTGATATGTAATTGCTAGGGTACATGAGACCAGACCAGATGGCAAGTATGATAAGAGGCTTGGGAGCTAGACAATGGTGCAAACATGAGTTGACTGCTCAATGGACCAGGGGATCTAAGCTGTCTGCTAGAGGAATTGTGGGGTCTGGGCATTGGCTACTGGAAGGATCGTAAGTCTAGGACAGCTTCTGGAGAGACCTGCTGATGTGTGTCTGATCATGAAGTAATGGGGACACCAGGGGACTGGGTGATTGAGCATCTAAGGCCAATATGACACCACTGGACGGATCATATTACTTACGTGCAGATGTATTTTCCACCAAGTAGCTTTGATCCTGATCAGCCAGAAGATGGTAGAGAATGAGGCCACTGGTGCTGTTTGTGCTTGTGTGAGAGCAGAGTGTTTCTGTCTGCACTAGTCTGTGTGGCCAGTGCTGTATGTATGCATATAAATACCATACATGCATTTTATATATGTGCATGTATTGCAAATGCATGTCCATCCTCGCTCTCAGAAGGACATGGGGACATGGAGCTGGAGCTGGGCTGTTCTCTCTTCTGGGTCTCAATTCCACCATAGGCAACTACTATGCTGGTGGGGGTAATACAGCCCTTTTGGGCTCTTCAAATGGAAAGAAAAAATATATATATATATACACACACACATATATGTATACATACTATACATATATAGCATGTATGCATATACTGTATGTATACTATATATATATATAGTATATATATTATGTATTTCATAGTATGTATTTCTGCCCTGGAGTTTCTTGAAAGTTTCTTTGAGGATTTTGGCAGTGGAAATGAGAGGATACTGTGAAAATCTGTTTATAATATAGTCTTTACGAAGCTATTTAATGTTTTCATGTTCCTGAACTTAGAATTACATCCTGACTATATATAAAGTAATATATAGAGTTGCAATTGCTCTCACTAAGGAAAAAAAATCTAAATCTGAAAACTATTTCATGTTTCTTTTGCCAAGTGTGGGCACATCAGGGCCTCCCATGAAGGAGGACGAGCTGGAACCCAGCATGGACAGTGCTTGCACTAATGAGCAGGGTCTGAATACTACGAGTGGCCCTTGTCCTGCTAACAGAGTCCACTGGCATCTTGAGACAGGGCAAGGGGATGAAGCAGATCCAAGATCTCTGTAGGACATCCAATCTCAAGGAAAAGGAGATGGACTCAGAAACAGGGCTGAAGATATGGAGACCACAAAGGTCTGAGGTCCATTTGGGACCCAAGGTCAGACTTCAAATGAGCAGTGATTTATGCCCTAGGGGTTCGCCCAGGAAGCAAGCCACTTAAGCACAGATCCAAGCTTCGTCCAGAAGGCCAGGTCAGTCAGGTTTGGAGACCATCGCTCCAACCACATTGCTCAGGCAGATCCCAGGGACTGAGATGCAGCCCCCAGGGACTGAGATGCAGCCCCTGAGACACAGGAGGAGGCTGGTTGGGGGTCCAGAGTGAGGCTGATGGGGGTCAGATTGTATAATTAAGACAAAAAAGAGGCTAAACTGTAGAGTTTCCATATCCTGCCCTCATTTTGAAGGCCTTGTGTGCTTGACTTTGCAACTTTCTGACCTCTTTCATTTGATTTGTGTGAAACACGTGGTAATATGCACATAGATAGGTTTGTGGTGAGAGAACATTAATATTAGAAAAGTGGAGGAGGGAATTAAAAAAAGCTATCTGAACTTTTTTTTTTTCCCACTCTGATTTTCTTTCTTTATCTCTATATCTGCCTGAATAAACTGTACTGGTTGATTTGGAAGTCTAAAGACATAGCATCTGCCCTCTCCTTTCTGGGAGTAGACGGAAGGAAGTGGGCTAGAAAAAAATGAAATATCAGCTTCTAACCCAGGTCAGGTAAGCCCGATACGCCGCAATGGAACGAACTGGTAGTGGTTGAAGTTTGCTATAAAAAGGCCATGACTTGCTCTGAAGCACAAGCAGATTGGAAGAGATCTCAGAGCAGGAGAGCTTTCGTGCTCCGTCACCTTGCACGCTCCTAAAGCAGCAGAGAGGCTGCAATGGCTTTTGCCAGCTACGCTGCAAAGGTAAGAACTTATATTTAGTATGAACCTTCAGGTATCATGTTAGTGTGTTATTATTCGCAGAAGAAATGCAGAATGTGGACCTCGTGATGGTGTTTTCTAGGAACAGCTCTTGTTAATCTCAGTGGGAACTGCATGAGTCACTAGGTCTCTGATACGGTTTTCTGTCCTGAGCTTTTGCAAGTAGATTTGGTGCTTGACTGACATGGCAGGCTATACGTAACCCCACCAGAAAGATGCAACCAGCCTAGTGTGAGAGAGGATGAGCAAGTGACTAGATGTTGGGCACATAGGATCTGGGAGAAACAGTTCTAACTGCTGAATAATTAGCTATTAAAATTGATGAAGGCTGAGGAGAGAAATGGAGGAGTTAAAGTGAATGCCTGTGCACTTCAATTCCAACATGAGCTTTATTTGCAATGCTGCTGCTCATTGTGATTTCCATAAAAGCCTTGCATCTATCTGTCTTTTATTCCTAAAACTCCAGCTGCTGGAGAATCTCAGATTTCATCAAGAAAAGGGTCATTTGCAGCAAATCTGACAGCTAGGAAGCTGTCATTCTAGGTTTCTTTACTGTTTTGGGAAGGTATAGAGCTAACCTATGTTTCTGTGCATAGGGAAATGTTTAGCTGAATCCTTAGCCCTCCTTGCAGATCATGGAACACTGGTCTTGGCTCTGGAGGAGGACTCTGGAGAGATGCTCTTTAGGGAGTTTAGCATCCCTTTGAGATCAACATCATTGTGCTACTTATGCATGGTGGGCCATCTCACCCAAATAAAAATGTGCAGATCTGCTGCCTTGTCACAGTGACGAAGGAATTTGGGGTAGGATTTCTATATCTCACATGCTTCTCCTCTTGTTAGCAGCAATGAGGCAGTCTAGTCAAGATACCTTCTCCTTGCTAATGGGAATTGTCAGGTGAAGCTTATGCCTAAGAGACAGAAGGGCTTCTCATGTTCTAACCTCTCTCCCGTGCAGAGCCAATGACAATCTCCTATTTTCCAGCTCAGGTCACTGCTGTTGGTGCTGGTCCTAGCACTTATGGTGAGGAGCTCACCTCACCGGAGGGCAGTTCATCCTCGACTTAACAAGTTTGAAAAGCTCGGTGAAGATTGCCTGACCCAAAAGGACCTCAAATTCCCAGAAACAGCAAAAGTTGACATTCATATCGTCAATTCAGATCCTGTCTCTAGGATAATCCATGATGTCAGGAACCGATCGCTTGCTCCTTGGGATTACAGGTAATGACCATGCACTCAGTTCTTCTCTGTAGTAAACCATGACATGTCCTCAGTGTACATCTAAATTCCTTCAAATGACTGTTGCCACCACTTCTTGGTCTCACAAATGCATTCTCGTGTTAGATGACTTTTATTTTTCCAGGTGAAACTGTTTGCAGTGAAAAGTAACATTATTAGAATGGGTCAAAATTTTTTTTTTCTTGTTGAAGAATCACTTCTTTAAGAAAAGAAAGATGTCAATAAACTGCATTTTCTGTTTCCCTATCTGACTTTTGGACAGTTTTGTTTGAAATTTCCTCAAAATTTGGATTTTTGACTGCTGAAATTAAAAACAAACAAGCAAAAAGAAAAACAGAAAGGAACCGTTCATTATCAATTCAGAAATGCATCCAGCTCCCTTTATTACTGAAGAATAGTATTATAGAATCACAGAATGGTTGTGGTTGGAAGGGACCTCTAGAGATCATGTAGTCCAACCCTCCTGCTCAAGTGGGGCTACAATACGGTACTATTACTATCCCAAAATATAATCCATTTATAGAAAATCATTCTGAAGGGGTTAAAGTATAGGGAAAATCTTTGGCCTTGTCTCAGAAAGGAAATACAAAGGGCTGTGACATGGTCATGAGAAGAAAAAAGAAGATAAAATTAAAAATATAATATACATGTTCATATATAGAATAAATATGTTAGACTCTGTAGTGTCTCATCAGTTTGGGAAATGCTGTATCAGAGCTATTCGCCTTGACTTTACTGTGATTTGGCTGTTCATATTCTAGGGTAAACTTTTACAAAAGAAAGATAGCATCTTTATTTTTATTAGGTACAGGAAAAAAAGCCTCTGATGTCATTCTTTGTATTCTGAGCAAGAAGCTGCTAGCCAGACCCAAGGAATTAATGCAGTATGTTGCTCTATGATGTATAGATGCCTTATGCCTGCTTTCCCTTGGTGCTTCCGTGAAGGAATACAAAGATGCTGGCGATCTGCAGTGTCCGGGAGCACTGCAAGTGAATTAAACCCTGTGACTTTTGTGTCCCCAGGCTCGACGAGGACCCCAACCGCTTCCCGCAGGTGATCGCGGATGCCACGTGCCGCCACTCGAGCTGTGTCAGCCCCCAGGGGCAGCAGGACCACGGCCTGAATTCTGTGCCCATCCGCCAGGAGATCCTGGTGCTCCGGCGGGAGCCGCGGGGCTGCCTGCCCACTTACCGCCTGGAGAAGAAGGTCATCACCGTGGGATGCACCTGCGCCACCCCCATCATCCAGCACCAGTCCTAGGACCGGCCACAGGGCAGGTGGCAGCAGGGCGAGGACACGGCTCCCATGGGCATCTCTGTGGAGAACTCCCATCCTGCATCCCAACCATCGCCACAGATTCAATGAGACATTCCCCATACAGACCGGAGCAGAGGACCTCAAAACACTGATTCTTGCTGTTTTTAATTTAAAGGGTTTAGCATGGAGATAAAAGGAGGAGAGAAGGCTGATTTACTTTTGACTTCCTGCAAGGAGGGAGTAAAGAATGTGCCTTCTCTCTCCTCTCCTCTCCTCTCCTCTCCTCTCCTCTCCTCTCCTCTCCTCTCCTCTCCTCTCCTCTC